TTGAACCGCCAACCTTCTGGTTAGCAGTCAAATGCCTTAGGCACTACGCCACCAGACCTCCCAAAGGCTAAGCAGTAATAAACGTTAATTATGAGTTACACTTATTTAATCTTGCTGTACCCTCATAATGAGGCTAAAGTGAGTGGATTATCCATAAATCTGCCTTAGTGCTCCTTTTGAGGCACTCGCCTGTACTCCAGGATGAAATGAGCTCTAAGGATTAGGGTACACCAAACCCAAAAAACCCACAGCCATCCATCCAGTCTATTCTGACTCACAGTGACTCCATCGGTCAGAGTAGAACTGCCTGCATAGGGTTTCTGAGACTGTACATCTTTGCAGAAACAGCAGAGCAACTGGTGGGTTCGAACTGCCGAACTTTTGGTTAGCTGAATGCTTTGACTACTGCACCACCAGGGCTGCTGCTGTGACCAGCATCCTCCAATTCAGTAACTGCCAAAAGCAGCAGTCCTCATTTCCTCATCCTTCCTCTCCACACCTCCTGAAACTCCTCTCCCTTGGGTGGCAAAATGGTACCTTCCTGGGTTTTTTTTTTTTTTTTTTTTCTTTTTTCCCAACCTCTTGCTCTTTCTCAGGCTTCTTCCTTGAATCCTGTTCCTTGTTTTGTGCGTAGGTGTGGTTTTCCTCTAGGTTCAGGCCTTAGTTCTCTCTGCATTCTCCCCCTGTGCATCTCACACTATCTTCAGTCTGAACTCCCTGATATCTTCAGACCAGACCTTCCGAGTGTAGTCCAGCATATTCCACTGCCTGATGGAACCAAAGTCTGCAACCCTCATGTACAAAACTAAAGTCACTATCTTCCGCACTCCTTTCAAAACAGCTCTTCTTCCAATCCCCTAATTCTTTTCTATGATCCCAGTCCCTCAAGCTTTAAATTCTCTCATCTCCCACATCCTGTCAGCTACTAAGTCCTGTCAGTTCTTCCACCAAAATATTTTTCCACCTATCATCTCCTCATCCAGGGCCCACTGTCCAACTCAGGTTTCATCATTTCTCACCTAGATTATTGTAGTAGCTTATATATGTGGTGCCCCTACCCACAGCCTCTCTTCCTCCCATCCATCTTCCACAACTCTTTTTT